TGCCAGCCACAGGGGAAAGTGCCTCAGCCGAAAAGCGAGCATTTGTGTGTATTGGCGACTAACCAACTGAAACTGACAAAAAAGTCCGATGATCCGTTTTCACGCGAAAAAACTCAACACTGACCAAGTGGCCAGTGGCTTTCTAGCCTCCAACAACCACCACCACCACCACCGTTGTTCATGCTTAAAATTCAAACAACGGGAGCAAAAAAGCTGGGGAAGTTTGTTCAAGCCGTTGTTGTCGCATGTTTGATGATAGCACACACCGAGAAACAAAAGCAAACAGGGAAAGAACTGGGAGCCGACTTCGAACGCTGGACACTGCTCTCAAACTGCTCGACTGTCCGTTCTTCTTTCTCTTCTTCTTTTTCTTCGGTTTTTGTCCACTTTTTATTTGAGGCGCCGGTGAGAAGTGTGTGTGTGTGTGTTGTTTATTCGCACTTTCCCGCTGCTGGTGGAAGTTACACTGCAGGACACTACTACTGGTGTGCACTTTGCAGTGGAGCTTAGCAGTGGAAATGGTAGTACTTCGAGTGGGCACAAGAAGAACAGAACAGAGAAACAGAGAAACTCTACTTTCTCTTCTCTTTCCCTTCTCTCTCTCTCTCGCTTTCTTCGACGATGCTACTGAGACACTACAGACAAATTTCGAAATGGTTTTTCAGCTGTGTGGTTTTCCTCTACTGCTCCTCTACTGGGCTTTATCAGCTTTNCTCTCTCTCTCGCTTTCTTCGACGATGCTACTGAGACACTACAGACAAATTTCGAAATGGTTTTTCAGCTGTGTGGTTTTCCTCTACTGCTCCTCTACTGGGCTTTATCAGCTTTGTTTTATTGTAGTCGGCTGTTGTCTCTTGCTGTGTCTGTGTTTGTGTGCGAGTTTTTAGCGATTGTCGAGTGCAGTGGTGCTCTAATGCATCGACTAATTGCCACTTGATGCAAAACTGAAAAAAAAGTTGCATAATTATAACAAGGAGATTAAGAGAGCGCGGTTTTTATATCTATTTTATAACATGGACATTATGTGTGTGTGTGTGTGTGTGAGTGAGCGAACTTACATAAAAATGTTGACCAACAACAAAAAATCTAATAACAAGAGTTGTGGTTAGTACGCTAAATGAGATTATTATTCAGTACTAATGAAAAGTAAAATTGGCGATCATTAGTCAGTAGTCATTAAGCAAAATGTGTAAACTGAGTTGCTGCCTATTCTGTTCTGTCCACTTTAGTTGCCGGCGCTCAACAGCGCGTGAGCTAGTTTAAAAAAGTTTTTTCGATTGCCGCACTTTTTCCCTCAAACTGTTTTTTTTTCAGTTGCAGTGATCTTTTAATATTAAAGCGCTCACAGAAGCGTGCTCACTGACGCCATTTCCTCTGTAATTTTGTTGCCTCTAAGCTACAGTTTTTTAAATTGAAAGGAGAGTGTTGGACTGTCAGTCAAATTCTTCAAAACAGGCAGACATAAAATAGAAACGAGCGACAAACAGCAGGTTTTTTGGTGTTGGCCAAAAGAGGTAGTAGAAGTGCTGAAGAAGAAGTGACAGAAACAGTTCAGACATTATTCGACCAGTGTCCGGAAATAGAAACTGATGAGAAAGAGAGAGAGAGAGAGAACGTCAAATCAGAAAACAACTGAGGTTCTATTTTAATGCGCCCACTGATTCTGATTGACGAGTTGAAAAGAAAGAAAGAGACAGTGTCAGTGGATAAACAACACACCGTAATGACTTTTGTATGTGCTAGGGTGCTGAAGCATGCACCGATTGAGATTAGACAGTCGGTGCAAGTGCAAAAGGTGATGAGAATTTGATTGTGCTGGTCAGTGCTGTGGTCAGTGGTGAGTGCGTGTAAACACAGACTGGCACAATGACAGACGCGTATTCAGTTGCTGGTTGAGATTATTGCGTTGTGTGACTGGTGTAATCTGCCTGTCATTCAGTAAGCCCGTCAGTCATTTGTCGATCAGCATACTTCTCAGTGAGGTAAAGTGAAGTGAACTGAAGTGGTCATTATCAACAGCTGAATTGAAGTGAATTCGGTAAGCAGCAACAACAGCTCTCATATCACTTTCGCCTTTAGCCATTTAGCGCATACACTTTCTCGAATTGCTGTCTATTACTACTGCTGTTTTTTGTTGGGTAATCTATCCTTAGCTCTAATGAGTGATCTGGCACCAATCTACTGAGTATGGACGAGGTTGACCCGTAGTAGGGGCCAAGTGAATGGCGATTTTCGAAATTCGTAACAGGTGTCGCGGGCAGGGCCTGCTAAACTGTTTCGAGCAGATGTCATTTCGACCACTTGTCTTCCCCGACTGTCTGTTTATGTTTTGGGATTTCACTTTTTCCCTCTCGTCGTTTGGCGAGAGCGACTCTCTTCAATTTAATCATTTCGAAGTTATCATTCATCGTGGTGTATTATCTCCTGAAGANGATCTGGCACCAATCTACTGAGTATGGACGAGGTTGACCCGTAGTAGGGGCCAAGTGAATGGCGATTTTCGAAATTCGTAACAGGTGTCGCGGGCAGGGCCTGCTAAACTGTTTCGAGCAGATGTCATTTCGACCACTTGTCTTCCCCGACTGTCTGTTTATGTTTTGGGATTTCACTTTTTCCCTCTCGTCGTTTGGCGAGAGCGACTCTCTTCAATTTAATCATTTCGAAGTTATCATTCATCGTGGTGTATTATCTCCTGAAGACATCAGCTTCGTCGCTGAAGAAAAAGAAGGAGAGGACGAAGGCATCACTTCTCAAGAGCGAGCAGTCATCGGCAGTAGCAGCAGTGAATGTCACTGCTTTCTTCATTTCTACTTCTTTGAGCTGATTTCTGAAGCACTTTTCTCTATTTGCCAAAGTTCTTGAAGACCTCCTCCCACCACCATCATGGTCCTCAGCAAGTACGGCGTGGCTATCTGCACGCTGAACCAGTTTGCGCTCGATTTCGAGGGCAACCTAGAGCGCATTCTCTCGAGCATCGACCGCGCCGTGGAGCTGGGCGCCAGCGTCCGCGTCGGCCCCGAGCTCGAGGTGACCGGCTACGGCTGCGAGGATGCCTTCTACGAGGTGGACACCGTCCACCACAGTTGGCAAGTGCTGGCGGCGGTGCTGAAAAGGGGATATCGCGACATTCTCATTCACATCGGCATGCCCGTGCTGAAGGACTCGGCGCTGTACAACTGTCTGGTGGTGGTGCTCAATTCGAAGATTGTGATGGTGAGGGCGAAGAACCGATTGGCCGTCAATGGAAACTACCGGTGAGTGTTTTCCCGCTTTCCAGTTTTCTATTTCTATTTTAACTGTGCCGGTTATTTTAGCGAAAACCGCTGGTTCACCGCTTGGGGCGACGGCACCGCCCCCTCAATGGCCTGGCTCCAGCTGCCGGCGATGATTCGCGCCATTACCGGTCAGCGACGGGTGCCCTTTGGCGATGGCGCCATTCTCGAGGTGATGAACGATGGTGGTGGCTTTAAAGAAGGCGATCAAAGCGGCCTCTTTGACCTCTCCGCCAGCGCCACCGCCGGCCTGCGCATCGGCTACGAGATCTGCGAGGAGCTCTGGCAGGCGGACACGGCCAGCTCTAAGCTGCTCGGCCTTCGAGGCGTCCACCTGGTGGTCAATGTCAGCGGCAGCTACTGGGAGCTGCGCAAGCTCGACTCGGCCATCAGCCACGCCCGCTCGGCAACGGGCAAGTCGGGCGGCGCGTACGCCTACGTGAACGCCCTCGGCTGCGACGGCGGCGGCCGCCTAGTGACCTATGGGCGCTCCTTTGTGCTCGAAAACGGCGGTGGGCGACTGCTGGCGATGACCTCCCACTCGAGGGAGACGCTCTTTGAGG